AGGCTCTGGACCACCTGCCTGAAGGTCCAGGTCAGATGGCAGTGATCCGAATGGTAATGTTTCAGCCTCTGAGACCAGCTTGGCCAGAGTTGTGCTTTGAAGGAGAGGGGACAAAGGTCCAAAGCGCTCCTCCGTGGGGACCCAGGTAACTATAACACAAGAATCCGAAGCGTCCTCTCTCAGGGATTCACGGAGGAAAAAACGGGTTAGGGGCGCCCTTTCCCTATGCACGGCAGCAAGAGACATTCCTTCCCCAGACCGGTTTCACCCAGGTGCAGGGTGACCAGCGTGAGGAGCGGCGGACGCGCCACCTGCTGTCCCTAGAGCGCGCCGCCCTCGCGGTCCAGTGGCGCCACCTGGTGGTCACTCGGGGAAGCGAGGCCTAGCGAGCAAGCCGGGAGCAACTTGGCGGCCCAAACAGGCTGTGTGACTCTGTGACCTGGAGGGAGCCCAGCCAGGCCGGCCAGCTGTTGCGTTGAGGGCTTCCTCCAGCAACTCCCGCACTCCGCGAGTCCTGACCCCACTCGACGGCGACCGGCCAGGGTGGCTGCCCTCCTTTGATGTCGCCTGTTGTGACAGCTCCCTGGTCCCCAAGGATCAGGCCTTTCAAAGGAGCCCCTTTGGCTGTGTCGACTTGAAGGAATCGCTTAACGCCTCTGAACTTCTGTTTCTTCTGCTAAAAAAGGGGGCATGAGGGGCAGGAAGGTATCACATGATACGACTTTGCATGGCTGACCCACATGGAATGTTCCAGGTCGTGCCCAGAGACCTCCTGAGTATGTCCTACTCAGGAGGATCTGTTGGGGTGCTGTCTCTCTCTCTCTCTGTGTGTCTCTCTTTCTCAAACTAAAAAAGGTTAAAAAAAAACAAAAAAAAGGTGCCAGCAATAAACAATACCATGTGCAGGGCTGGTGGACAAATGCTCACCCCCACCACCGCCCTCCCCCCACACCCCAGCCACCGGGTGGCAAGTCCCATTTCAGGCTGTGGTCTAGTTGGGGAGGGGGGTTGAGCTGTGGGAGGTGATGGGCATTTCTGGAGCCATCAGTGGGAGTCCCAGCACATGAACAATGGAATACCCCTCCCCTCCAGAGTCCAGAAGCTCCCAGACAACTTCCAGGTGGGCTTTGGCTGAGCTGAGACCTAACAACCCCTCCATAAAGCCGGGTCCTGCTGGGCAGTTCGTGGTGATCGCCACAGCAAGGCTGGGCAAGCATCTCCTCTGATGGTAGGAGGAGCCCGAGTATGTGGAAGGGGAAGCATTCACACCCACGGGACAGGGGAATGCACCTGCCCCAGGCCTCACTGGCAGAGGGTCCTGCCGGGTCAGCACCCCTGGACTGCCCAGGATCCCTGCCCTGGTGCCCTCCCCCAGGCTGTTGTCCCTACCTGCTGTCCCCTGGGGAGGCTGTGAGTGGAGTGGTTTTTGGAGCTTGAGAAGGAAACATCAGAGTCACCTGGAGGGCTTGCTGGGCCGCAGTGTCCCACTCGGTAGGTCAGGACGGAGCTGGGGAGCGGTCTAACCAGTGGCTGGAGGCTGTGGCTCCGCTGGCGGCAAAGTCACAGCAGGCGGGCGTGAGTCCCAGTTCCGTCACTCAGGATCAGTGAGGCCTTGGGCTGGTTAGTGGCCCATGTCCTCACCTGTGAAATGGGGACAGTGGACCTCACGCCGTGTGCCGGGAGCCCTAAATGAGACGGAGCACACTGGGACTCTGCTCAGGCCTGGCACCTGGTAGATGCTGTGAGTCTCGGTTGCTTTCCATGGCACTGTGTGCGCCGGCGTCCCCTCGGCACTGTCCCCTGTCCAGCAGCCGCAAAGTGGGGACAGGAGGGTTGAAAGGAAGAGAAAACGACAACAGTGGGAAAGGCCGCACTCGTTTTATTTGGGTAGCTCAGAGTTCAGAGAGGAGACAAAGGTGAGAACCTCGTTACAACCCTGTTACAGAGGAAGGGGCTGCAGAGAAAGGCCGCACTCGTTTTATTTGGGTAGCTCTGAGTTCGGAGAGGAGACAAAGGGTGAGAACCTCGTTACCACCCTGTTACAGAGGAAGGGGCTGCAGGGATGCGCTGGGAGGGAACGTGGAGGAGAAAGGGTGGCCACTTCCAGCAGTCGGGGAACACTACCTAGAGGAGGTGACAGGGCTGAGCCTCGAAGGCAAGTCTTTGTCCATTCTAGAAGGGAGAAGGGCACGTTAGGCTGAGAGGGCAGATAGGGCCCTGGTTCTCAGTAGCCTGGGGTCACCCGGGGACAGTTAAAGAACCCCAGTGCTCAGGCAGCAACCCAGACCAGTGAGATATGAATCTTGGGGTGCTGTGGACTGAATGTGTGCTCCCCAATTCATCTGTTGAAACCCTGGCTCCCGGGGCTGTGGTATTTGAAGATGGGACCTTTGGGAAGTGACTAGGTTTAGAGGAGGCCGTGAGGGTGGGGCCCGTGGTGGAATTAGTGCCCTTGTGGGAAGCGGGAAATGCCGGATCTCTCTGGGGTGCATCAGGTAGTGGGCTCTCACCGAGGGCTCGACCACTCTGCTCTCTGGTCTCAGACTTCCAGGTTGCAGCACCGAGAGACACGTTCGCTGTTTAAGCCACCCAGTCTGTGTACTTAGTTAAAGCCGCCCAAACTGAGGTGGGGTAGGCTGGGCGGGGCAGTGGGAATGACACGAGTCGTCGGAAGCACCCAGGTATCAGTGTGCAGGCGAGATTGAGAACCTCTGGCAAAGGCTTAGAGGGAGGGAATCCCATCTCTGCACAGACATGGGAGCAAAGAGCCCAAGGTGGCTGGAACAGGAAGTACTCGAGAAAGAACAGCAAGGAATGAGAGCGGGCAGCCACGCAGGGCCACTCCGCATCGCCATGGGAGAATTCCAAGGGGCAAATGAGCAAGACGTTTAAGTGACACAGCGTGCACCCTGACGATGTCCGCGTGTGCGTTGACACAGGACTTGCGATGGCCTGCAGGAGGGAGTGGCTGAGAGGTCAATGCCACCTGTGATAAGACCACCTCTGTGTCCCGGGGATGTTCCTGATTCACCTGTGGGCACCCTGAGCCTGAAAAGCAGCAAGAATATGTATGGGTGTGAGGGGCTTTGCTGCACCTCAGCTGAGCTAATGTGGTTGGTTTATGGGATGTCAAAGAACTTTCTAAAAACTCTAGTCCTGGGACCAGCAGGTGACGTAGTAGTTAAGGTGCTGGACTCCCACCTGATTGACTGCAGTTCAAGTCCTGGACCCGGTGGCTTGAAAATCATGCCAGGCATGTGTGCACGTGTGCCCAAAATCCCGAAAGAAGAATGGAGGAGAAGGGATTGCAGCGTGGCATCCCACCAAGAGGAGAGGTGATTTCTCACTTTCCCTCTGTGTGTGTGTTTCTCCCAATGGCAAAAACCTTTAAAAATTTTTTAAAAACTCTAGTGCCTGTGGCGGCTGCCAAGAATCTCACTATTGGTGCTTCGTGTCTTTCCTTCACTCTGGCTCTCCCTGTGCCAATCCCATTGCCTGGGGTAGGTTTTCAAGGGTTGAAGGGACAGACAGCTTAATAGTTGTGGGGAAGTGGGGGAAGATCCAGAAAGGGAGACCTAAAACCCTTTTGAGAGAGGGCTCTTGGGGCCGGCCAGGCCTAAGATGGAATGGAGAAGCCTTCAAAGACAGGTTCCTCCTCTTTTCAAACGTTCTTGACTGTCATAATGTTCATGTTACACTGAGTCGCAGAGTTCACCCTTTACCCGGAGACTAATTTTGCTAACCCCAAGACAGGTTGATTTTTACAAGATTCTCTCAAAGAAGCAAGATCTGGTCATAAGATGTTTCTAATGACCGGTAAGAGACATGTAAAGACGTGTGCCACCCTGCAGGGGTGGCATGTGACACAGCCACATGCCAATGTGTCTTCTGACCTCTCTCCCAGGCTGAGGTCCCCAGCAGTGACCCTGAGACGAGGATTTGAAGTGGTTTCTTTGGATCTCAGGAAGCCCCCATCGAGGAGTGCAGAAGTGAAACGGACATGAGAAGGCCATTACAGGGTATGTAATGAGCGACTGGGGTTCGAATCTGCTGGGGAACCCGGGAGATGTTACCAGCCCGCCCAAGTCACCCTACGGCAGGAGCGAGGAGGCTGGGCACCATGACCCACCGCTCCCTCCAGTCGTTGCCTGAGGGATATTCCCAGAAGCACTGACCGCTTGGCACTTCTAGCCTGCTCTACCCAGACCCAGGCTTTCATGGCCAGAGAAAGCCCCAGGGGACGGACGCGAGAATGCCAGGAGATGTGGGTGGGGCACCCAGAGCATCTGCTCCCAGACCAGCCCTCTCACAGGCCGGCCCATTTGTGAACAGCTCAGGAGCGTACCCACCCGAGCGCCAGCCTTCTACGGGCCCGTCTGTTTGGACAGGCATCCACTTTTTCACATGCCAGCTCAGGGGTTCTGTCCGCATGCCAGTTAGTGAGGACATGGGGTCTGCCAGCCAGAGCGTATCCCAGGCCCCTGCGAGCACAGGCGACAGTTGCACTCCGCCGCGTCGGTGTCTCTCGCCCGGGCTGGGATCACACCCGTCTTGCATGCAGTCATACGGTTGCTCAAGGAAAGAGCTTGCTCAGGCAGCTTGTTTCGTCAAAGGCAAATGGGGATTAGCTTGGGAAGATTCTATCTAGGGGAAAGTACCAATTCCAAGGGAAAAGATCATTTTTTCCCTCAGGTCTTGAGAAAGCCAGCACTATCCATAACGCTGTTCCATGTGTGCGAAGTGGTGCTTTTTAAAAATGAGGACAGGCAATTGATCGGACTTCAGGTACTTTTTGATCATTTGATCATTTTCCCCAAACATCCTGGCACACAGGGCATTGGTCATATTTGTGCGGAACTCGGCCCTCATCAAGGATTTGTCTCCAAGCCTCAAGGTCTCAGGGGTCGGGCTGCAGTGCCCCTGGCCTGGTGACATTGCACTAAAAGACAGGTGAGTAACCAGCTCAACCTGTGTCTGTCACCTGAGACGTGCGGGAACCTTCACTTTTTCACGAGATGGTAAAATTTCCCATTGGCAAAGAAGAGCATGAGCTTCTTGTAGATGTCAATCAGCCTGTTTTGCATCAGCTTCAGAGCGATGTACGTAATCTCCATCCCGATGATGATATAAATCGAGAAGAACAGGAAGAAGTTCGGGTGCTCTAAGACGGTGTCCCCAAAGCCGATGGTGGTCAGTGTGACGAAGCAGAAGTAGAAGGCATCCTCAAAACCCAGCTCCGTTTCCCAGATGGGGAGGATGGCAGCCGCGCAGGAGATGTAGGCAAAAACGACGAGGACGATGACGGGGAGGGGCACGTCCAGCCGCTCCACCTGCCGGCCCACCTCCTCCAGGTTGCTGATGATGGAGTCCGACAGCCTCCCCGACACCAGCTCAGGACACGAGCTGCTCCTCTCCATGGCCTGGGCGGGCAGCTGCAGGGAGCTCTGTTTCTCCCGTGCGAGCAGTCTCTCAAACAGCTCCGTGTTGCAGTTGGGGCCTGAAGGGCGCTTGCCAGGTGCAGGGCCCGGGAGCTCCTCGGCACTGATGACGATCTGAGGGATGACCTCCTCCGCAGGCCTGGAGGCAGGCTGTCCCCTGCAGAGCGGCTGGGAGCACCACTTGTTGAGATGGCGGGTGAGGAAAGGGAGTTTTCGGAACCGATCGTACGACGTGGATAAGATGGTGGCCAGGAAGTCACCGGTGTCCGTGAGAACCAGGAACATCAGGGGGATGCCGAAGAGAGCATAGAGCATGCACAGGTACTTGCCGAGCCGGGTCACAGGGTAGATGTGGCCGTAACCTGGGAAAGGAGACAGAGCCTGGGTTGTCATCTGCCTCCTCTTCCACCCTCCCCGTGTCCCTTCCTGGGCGTGGCATTTTACACGTGTGTGAGAACATTCATCTGAAAGCTTCCATTCCCTCGCCTGGCATTAGTCTGCTTTGGTGGCGGGAGCAGGGGGTGAAACCCAGCTTCTCTTTAGAACAAGGAGCAGCTCCAGGCCAGATCTCTGACCTGAAATGTCCTTGGCAGGGACCAGCTCCTGTGGGGAGAGCTGGTGGCCTTTCATTCTGCCTTGCCATTTCTGAGCATCCCCAGGGGGATGGGCTCGGCTCTTCTGGCAAGGCAGGAGGAGCACAGGTAAATTGGCATGGCCGGCTCTACAAACACACCCACAGCCTTCTTCATCTGCCATGAAGGCACCAGTTCCCGGGAAGCCACCCTTCCTTCCTGGGAGGTCTGGGTCCCTTGGTTTACTTGTTTCTCTGTAATGGCTCTTGTTCCGTGCCAGCGTGCACACAGCCCGGTGCGCAGTGTCGGGGCCAGTCTTAGGGAGCATAGGGTTGTACAGTGCAGCTCCCGCCCTCAGAGCCCTCTGTGGTTTGGCCAGTTAGACAAACGTGCTCCTGATTGACGGTGATGGCTGAGCACCCCAGTGTCTAGAACCTGAGTCTCCATAGTTCGAGTCCCAGCTCCTTACTTCACTGCCCACATTCTCAGGTCTCTTGTCTCTAAAGTATGTCGAGTCCCAGCTCCTTACTTCACTGCCCACAGTCTCAGGTTTCTTGTCTGTAAAGTACGATGACAGCCCTTACTTAGACATTGACTAGCCAAGGGACTGCATGAGACTGGCGCCTGACATACAGTGGGCTCTCCATAAGACTACATGTCCTGGGTCCAGCAGATGGCATAATGATTATGTCACTGAACTCCCACATAATCAACCATGGTTCAAGTCCTGGACCTGGCAGCTTAAAATTCGTGCTGGGTGTGTGTGCGTGCATGCCCAAAATCCCAAGAGGAGAATGGAGGCGAAGGTGGAGGAGAAGGGATTATGGCATGGCCATACCCCTGGGGGATGATTTCTTACTTTCTGTCTCTCTGTATCTCTCTGTCTCTCTGGTGAGTGCATATGCCCTATAGCAAAAACCTCTCTTAAAAAAATTTAAAAAGGAAAAAAATTAAAGAGAAACTAATCAGTGTCCTGGCCCTCAGCAGCTAGTAATAGCACCCTCCTGAGCACTTACTGGGTAAGTGGGCTGGGTATCAACCAACCTTTGCAGGTAGGGATTGTTATCACCCTCACAAATGGGGAAACTGAGGCTTGGATGAATGAAACAGCTCCATGAGCCACTGGGGCTCAAATCTACTGGGGAACCCAGGGAGATGCTACCAGCCTGCCCAAGTCACCCTACAGCAGGAGCGAGGAGGCTGGGCACCATGAGCCACCGCTCCCTCCAGTCGTTGCCTGAGGGATATTCCCAGAAGCACTAACCCCTTGCACTTCTAGCCTGCCCTACCCAGACCCAGGCTTTCATGGCCAGAGAAAGCCCCTTGTGATGAATAGTGGAGCTGGGAGCCCAAGCTCAGGCCTCTCCAGCTTCCAAGCCTGCGCTCTCAGTCTCAGGCATTCCCATGGGCAGGACCCCTCAACCACTACAGACTGGCCAGCCAAGCAACGGGCAGGGTGGGCTGAGGTCTCCGTGCTCGTCAGGAACCCCTCCCCTACCATTCCCGTATGCCCACTAGCGTCTGCAGAGGAGCAGGGGCAGGAAACATCAAACCCACAGTGGAGGCAGTGGGGTGTCCTGGAGTGGGCAAGTTGCAATGATTTCAACGAACAGAGGAAAAAGCTTTTGTATTTAATGCCTGTGTTTAATATTTGATGTTATAAAGGATCATTAATACATAACAGCTCAGTTCAATTATGTAAATTAATTGCAAAGCAATTCCTAGGTTGGCGAAGCCCCAGGACTGCAGCTTCAGCTCCCAGGCACACCCTGGCTCCGGGCTCTGCCTCAAGGAGCACACAGGCACACAGGCTGCCCACCCGCACCAGAGTCCCAGGGTGGGGAGGGGCTGTCTCGAGGAGTCTCATCAGTTCACCTGTGGCCCCAGCACCACACACCACCGTGACTGGTCCTTGAGGCGCCATCTGATGGCAGGGCTGGCGAGCTTCACCCTGCCATCATTCGTTCAATGAGTACCTACCTACTGCATGTGCAGCGGACACAACAGCAAGCTCATAGAGATGGGCTCTAATCTCGCGGAGCTTCTGGTTTCGTGGGGGAGCAGTTGTTAACCAAATAACCACACTAGTGAGCATGCAATTACAGAGGTCCACCCCGGAAGTTAAAAAGCAGACCATTCTCTGAGTGATGGGAACAAAGACTCCCATGTTGGATTTTGGGACGTTTTCCTGGTGAGGTGCTTCTTGAGCTGAGATTGAGAGAGGGGCCAAGACTCAGTCAGCTAAGGAGAGAAGCAGCTGCATGTGCAGAGGCCCTGTGGAAGCATCCGGAAAAGGTCATTCACACAGCAGGCCACCTCTGCACAGCACATACGGCAAGGGAGTGACTGGGAGCTGAAATCCAGCCCGTGGTGCGTTTAGCAAGCTCAGTCTCCAGGCATGGAGCTGTGTCTCTGGAAGGGATGAGGCTTTCTGATTTTTCCGGAAGGTGCCACCCACAATGTAGCGATCACTCTGGCTGAAGGAACCAAGAGAAAACCAGTGTGGTCAGTGTACACAGAGGCACAGGGAGGGGAGCAAGGTGAGCCTGGGGAGGTGGGTGGAGTCTCAGGGCTCATGTGACAGAAGGCGGGGTGCTTTGATCGGTGTGGTGGACTGAAAATGACACCTGGCAAAAAGCATATCCAAGTCCAAATTCCTGGAACCTATAAATGCTACTTTATTTGGAAAATGGGTCTTCAAAGATATGAGTAAAAACATCAAGATGAGATGACCCTGGATTATCTATGGGGCCCTAAATGAAAGTGTCCTTATAAGGAAGAGAAGGAAACTTGACACACAGAGAAGGGGGCAAACAATCTGACCTCAGAGGTGGATTGTAGTGATGCGGCCCCAAGTCCAAGAGTGCTGCAGCCACCAGAAGTCAGAAGAGGCGAGGAAGGATCCTCCCTTGGAGCCTCCAGAAGATGCATGACCAATTTTTGTAAGACCAGTTTCCGGGACCAGCAGATGGCATAATGGTTATATTGCTGGACTCCCACGTAGTCCACCTGGTCCACCATGAGTCCCAGACCTGGTGGCTTAAAAACTCACACTGGGCACGTGTGCATGTGTGTCCAAAATCCCAAGAGGAGACTGGAAGAGAAGGCATTGCAGCATGGCCATCAGCCTAGGGGGTGATTACTCACTTTCTGTTTCTCTCTTTCTCTCTGTCTCTCTATTGAGTGCACACATCCTATAGCAAAAATCTCTCTTGGGACCAGCAGTTAGCGTAATGGCTATGTCGCTGAATTCCCATGTAGTCGACCACGGTTCAAGTCTTGGACCTGGTGGCTTGAATTCATGCCAGGCACATGTGTGTGCGTGCCCAGGATCCCGAGAGGAGAATGGAGGAAAGGGGATTGCGGCATGGTCATCCCCCGCTGGGGGGCGATTTCTTGCTTTCTGTCTCTCTGTCTCTCTCTGTCTTTCTGGAGAGTGCACACTCCCTATAGCAAAAAACCACTCCCCCCCAAAAAAAATCTCTCTCAAGAAAAGCAATAATAATTTAACCTCTGACCTCCAAACATGATAGAATCCATTTCTACAGCATTAGACTGCCAAGTTTGTGGGAGTTTGTTACAGCAGTCACAGGAAGTGAATAAAACCAGATTTGCAGCTTAGAAATATCATCCTGGCTGCACTGTGGAGAGCTGCATCATTAGAGGGGTCCAGGGGGGACACAGGAGTGGGAGGCTGTGATGATGCCTAGCCAGGTAGGAGACGAGAGCTTTGGCTAAGGTGGAACTGAGAGAAAGGGAAGTGCAGAGACTGGGGAGAAACCTTGTTATGGTGGGGGCGTGGTTTGGACTTGGGTATCAGAGGGCACCTGGGAATTCAGGAACACAATAGGCATTC